ATCTGGTATCTGGTGTCTGGTGTCTGGTATCTGGTATCTGGTATCTCGTATCTGGTATCTGGTTTCTGGTGTCTGGTGTCTGGTATCTGGTGTCTGGTGGCTGGTATCTGGTATCTGGTATCTCGTATCTGGTGTTTGGTATCTGGTATCTGGTGTCTGGTATCTGGTATCTGGTATCTCGTATCTGGTATCTGGTTTCTGGTGTCTGGTATAAGGTATCTGGTGTCTGGTGTCTGGTATCTGGTATCTGGTATCTGGTGTCTGGTATCTGGTGTCTGGTATCTGGTATCTGGTATCTCGTATCTGGTATCTGGTTTCTGGTGTCTGGTATCTGGTGTCTGGTATCTGGTGTCTGGTATCTGGTGTCTGGTATCTGGTGACTGGTATCTGGTATCTGGTATCTCGTATCTGGTGTTTGGTATCTGGTACCTGGTATCTGGTATCTGGTGTCTGGTGTCAGGTATCTGGTATCTGGTATCTCGTATCTGGTATCTGGTATCTGGTATCTGGTCTGGTATCTGGTGTCTGGTATCTGGTATCTGGTATCTCGTATCTGGTATCTGGTTTCTGGTGTCTGGTATCTGGTGTCTGGTATCTGGTATCTGGTATCTGGTGTCTGGTATCTGGTATCTGGTGTCTGGTATCTGGTTTCTGGTGTCTGGTATCTGGTATCTGGTGTCTGGTGTCTGGTATCTGGTATTTGGTATCTGGTGTCTGGTATCTGGTGTCTGGTATCTGGTATCTGGTATCTCGTATCTGGTATCTGGTTTCTGGTATCTGATGTCTGGTATCTGATGTCTGGTATCTGGTGTCTGGTATCTGGTATCTGGTATCTGGTGTCGTATCTGGTATCTGGTGTCTGGTATCTGGTGTCCAGTATCTGGTTTCTAGTATCTGCTATCTGGTATCTGTTATCTTTTATAAGTTATCAGTTTTCATTTTTCATTTTTCTATTTTAATTTTTAATTTTTTATTTTTAATTTTTCATTTTTCTATTTTAATTTTTAATTTTTAATTTTTGATTTTTCGATTTTTCGAATTTTCGAATTTTCGAATTTTCGATTTTTCGATTTTTCGATTTTTCGATTTTTCGATTTTTCGATTTTTCGATTTTTCGATTTTTCGATTTTTCGATTTTTCGATTTTTCGATTTTTCGATTTTTCGATTTTTCGATTTTTCGATTTTTCGATTTTTCGATTTTTCGATTTTTCGATTTTTCGATTTTTCGATTTTTCGATTTTTCGATTTTTTCGATTTTTCGATTTTTCGATTTTTCGATTTTTCGATTTTTCGATTTTTCGATTTTTCGATTTTTCGATTTTTCGATTTTTCGATTTTTCGATTTTTCGATTTTTCGATTTTTCGATTTTTCGATTTTTCGATTTTTCGATTTGATTTTTGATTTTTTGATTTTTGATTTTTGATTTTGATTTTTGATTTTTGATTTTTGATTTTTGATTTTTGATTTTTGATTTTTGATTTTGATTTTTGATTTTTGATTTTTGATTTTGATTTTTGATTTTTGATTTGATTTTGATTTTTGATTTTTGATTTTGATTTTTGATTTTTGATTTTGATTTTTGATTTTTGATTTTTTGATTTTTGATTTTGATTTTTGATTTTTGATTTTTGATTTTTGATTTGATTTTTGATTTTTGATTTTTGATTTCTGATTTTTGATTTTTAATTTTCGATTTTCAATTTTTCATTTTTCATTTTTCATTCTTCAGATTTCAGTTTTCATTTTTTAGTTTTCAGTTATCAGTTATTTGTTATCTGTTACCTGTTTTCTTTTATCTGTTACTTTTTATCTGTTATCTGTCATCTTTTATCTGTTATCTGTTATAAGTTATCTGTTATATGTTACCACCTGTTACCTGTTACCACCTTTTACCTGTTATCTGTTGTCTGTTATCTTCCATATAGCATTGAAAATATCCTGTATACAATTGTATAACAGACTCAGATTTATGTGAGATGCCGGCAACGTCGCATGTGTTGTGTTGTTAATAGGGAGATATTGCAAACATCTGCCTTATTAGTGCAGACCTTATTTTGACATCTACGCATGCGCACATACAATTCTGTATCTATGAGGAATTAATAGGGATAAGGCACGTCCTTATTTAAGCTAATAGGGGGAGCTTATTTAGGCGTTCTTATGTCACGACGATTCACGATCTAAGCAAATCGGGTGTCGTCGCAAGCCTATTTAACCTATAAATTTGTACTCTCAAATTCAACGATTGCTGAAGCGTTTTGGTAACTATGATATGGATAAAAAGAGAATAAGGTTCACGTATGACGACGAAATGATTTTGCTGCGTGAATTTATTGCACAAAACCCTATCCGTTCTCCTGAGAAGTGGGACTCAATCTTACAGAACTTGCGAGAGCTTACGGGAAAAGAATTTATTTGAGAACAATAAAAAGCATCTGAACCATCTTCTGGAGCTGTTCCTCAAAAAGGAGGTTAACAGCAAAGTCAAGTAAGTATAAGATAGCACACTGTACCTACATGTATTTTAATAACAAGAGAATGCTTAATGTAAGACTTGGTGAAAACAACATTTGTGTTTGACAGGTCTGGCATAGAAGAAGTCTATAATGAAAGAAACATATGCTCCAAGAAGCCAGCGAGTTAATGAAAGAGACCTGCTCAACTACACCAGCAAAAAGAAAAAAGTGGAAAACAAAGCGAAAGATATGATTGAAAAGACACGCAATGAAAGAGAGGCTATGGCACTGCTGGCCTTTTCTGATGTGGATGACACTTTAATCGACCATGATTACGGTAAAATAACTATTCTAAACATTTTTTATACATATTACATATTATCACAGTTTTAGGTGTTTGTGTTACAGTCGACGTTGACACAGAAAATAATAATAAGTCTGTACAAGATGTTGGAACTGCAAACAGATATCTGTACAAGATGTTGGAACTGCAAAACAGATATCTGTACAAGATGTTGGAACTGCAAAACAGATATCTGTACAAGATGTTGGAACTGCAAAACAGATATCTGTACAAGATGTTGGAACTGCAAAACAGATATCAGGTAAAACAATGATTAGAATTACTGCTTGAATCTTCAGTAATAGAAACACTAAAACAGATCCACAGGTTATGGAGTATGACCAGTAAATAAACCAGTGCTCGATATAAAATGTGTAGGTACTTATGTTATATACTTTGATAAAAGCCAGTGCAATGACTAACCTGTCAGTGAACTTCTTTTGTTTAGCACTGCGGTTTTATTTACAGGCCAGACTAACCAAATAGTGGATCCAGATGACTACAGCGTATATAGCATTGCCATGGCATCCCATTCAGAGGGCTACTACTAGATTAAGTAGTTTCTAGTATGTTATACATTACCTATAAAACAGAAAGCTCAAAACTACCTCTTACATTTCATGTTCAAGATTAAATACATTTGTTTATTGTTGCTGTTACTTACTTTTCGATCATTACAGCCCCCCGTACCAAAAGGATGAACAAAAGTAAAACATTGAGAAAAAATGGCCTTGATTACCTACGAGAAAAAGCGGAAATATCACGAGAAATAAGATCTGCAGAACTCAAGTTAGAAGAACAAAAAATGGATAATGAAAAAGAAAAAATTGCAAATGACAAAGCAAGACTTGCCTTGGAGTCTAAAAGGCTTGAGGCAGAAATTCAAAAAAAAAACATAGGATAGAGTTAGAACAAAAGAAATCTGAGCAAGATGTCGCTGAAAGAAAAAACTTGAGTGACCTCATCAAAACACAACAAAAGCTTATTGAAGCATTACTGACAAAACTTGATAATAGATAATTTGCCATTAAAAAATAATATACTGGCCTTATATTGAAATAATAATGTTGATGCTAAGGATGGTGAGCACAAACCAAGTTTGTTGCCGAAAATATATGAAATTGATTCTGCAACTGGTTCCATGTATGAACATAGTAAAACTGTGTAACTTCAGGATCAAACATATTTCATCCACAATCCTGAAGAAGTTGATTTCATATATTTTCAGCAACATACTAATTTAGTTTTGAAATCTCTTATTGGGTGCTTGCTGCCCTTATGGTTGTAAATAAATAAACATACATTCCAAACAAGCTTTATTGGTCTTACAAGTCTATAAAAAATTACAAATTATCATCAAGCGTTACAAGTTAGAAACAACCCAAAATTTAGATGTAAAAGATGGCTAGCGCCATCTAAATTTGCGCTAGAGATAGTTTTTTGCAAGTTTCGTCAATGACGACGCAGGCAAAGCAGAAACCCCTTACGATTTCTGGTCGCTGACTCAGATGAATTGTACAGAGTACAGATACCCCGGTACCAACCAACAGTAGCCGGCCACCAGAGTCGTAACGCAAGGCGTTCACAGGACAAACTAACAATAGCATTTTCTGCAGAACATGCAATAATATAGTCTGATATACTCGTTTGCTTTCCATTGCAAAGAAACTAGTTCTAGCGAAATTTAGATGGCGCGAGCCATCTTTTACATTTACCGTCTTCCCGCTATTTGATAGACCACATTCGCTTGTTTACTTTCCATTTGTCCGCCTTCACGGCTGGACCTGATACAGACCTATACCATACTGATGAGGGCTAAAGAGCCCGAAACAGCGCTGTCTGCGGTTGGTCTTGGCTGCGGCGATGGAAAGCAAACGAGTATTTCAAACCCAAAATGTCCTCTATTTAGTGGCCTATGTAGGTCTCAAGTGAAGGTGGATTTGTATTGAATACATAGCAGTCTGACTACTATACAGGCATGTATTGGCAGTTAGTAAGTAGTACAGCCACCTTGTATAAAGCATCAACGTCTTGAAGTAGCATTTTTTGGTTTTTTGAAAAATCTACAAAGGCAAATTCTGATATGACTTTCTGAAAACCCCATTCTACTGCTATCCTTAGAACTTTCATAGCAGAATTGAAATCTGCTGATGGGCAGGTAAATCTTCCATTCTGCCATGAAATGGGGTAAATAGCACATCACTCAGCCCATATCCTTGATCACCAAATAAAACAAATCGTCTGTGTCAAAACATGTCTTTTGCACTAATTCTTCAGAGATACCTGACTCCCTAAATATTCTGGCATCATGCCTTCTTCCCGGATATGCGCCTTTCAAACTAACAATAATTCCATCAGGACAAATTATTGATTGGAATTTTATGCAGTGATACCTTTTGTGTCCTGAATAATACTCTTCTTGATTTTCAGAGGGTCGACAAATTTTCCTTGCTGTACCATCGATGAAACCCCAACAATTATTCATAGGTGCTCCTTTATTATGAATAGCCTACAAAAAGCACATTTCAGCATTTATGAACCAACCATCACTTCAACTATATTACACAATACAATACCTGTGCATAATACTCCAACTTCTCCCTATTAAACCACTGCAATGAATTCAAATTGTTGAGAAGTACAGCATGCTCCTCCATAATCACACTTATCAATTTATTTATGATTTGTGACAAGACTGAGTTGACAAGTGGAACATAGGGACCATATCACACAATCTGTTTGGATATGCCAGCCGTCTTAGTAGAATGCACAATGCTGTTAAACCTGAAAGAAGATAAATGGAACTTATACTGTGGTTTTCATGTTGATAGAATTCCAGCCTCTGGCAAGTGTTGTTTGAGTCAGAGGATGGAGTTCGATTGAAATGATGAACATATAGCAATAAATATTTAAACAAAATCATACCATCCACTTTATTACGTGTGATAGTGACAATTTCTGAAGGTATTCGTAAAACAGCTCAGCCTATGAAGGTCAGACCCTCAAATCGAAAATTTAGTCTTATTACTTCATCTGGCAAGTTTTCCAAGTTGAATTGTGCTGTATGAGTAATGCCCTATCAATAAATATATATGGAGGATGATATGTTCTATTTCCTCCTCATCTGCTCCTGCAATATAGACTGCTTCCAATTCAGCTTCCATTTTACAATCTCACTTCTCACACCTTTGGTAGAATTTCAACACGAACCACCTATATTATGCAAGCAAAATCTGGAAGGAAAAGTGAGGTTAAGATAAACACCATCAAAGCGAACTGTCAAAATACGTTACATGTGCAATATCTCTAATTCCACTGTACTTATTTAGGTTCACCTAAATAATGCATACCCTTATTTAGGTCCATATGCAATATCTCTCTAATACCATACATGGCGTTATAAAATCTTCCATGTAGCAAATTGTATAGCAGACTTAGATTTATATGAGGATCGTCGCATAAATCTAGCTATAACACGACTTGCAAAAAAATGGCGCTTGACACTGACATATGTCAACCGTGTTCGTCTACGGATAGCAGTGGACTATGCTTTCTTCAGTGTATATGTTTTCTGTTTTGTAATGTCAATGTCATTGTCATAGGTAATTT